GTCATTAGATGTTACCTCCGGTATTTCAAGGGTTTTATTACTTTTTGCTCCCTGTCTGCATCCAGGGATCCATGCTTTTTATTCTCGAGGTCAGAGATATAGCTTAGTTTGGACTTAAGTTTTCGTGATTGCAGGAACTCGTGTACTTTGGTTCTCTTGGTAAAGTCACAGAGATAGAAAGATACAATAAGAAAAATATAAGGAATACTGCAGTCTATGTCGACTTATTCTTATAGCCAAGCTTCAACTTTTTCCGTACAAAAAAAATATATCAGTTATAATGTCTGTTTGCCCTGTGCTGTGTCCGTGTCTGTGATTCTGGATATTTGTTTGTGAACTATCCTTTGGCAATCTGGAGATTTTGCAGATAGTCGTTAACCTCCCTTTGCTCTGGAGTTTATTATTTAATGGCCTTTTACGACCTCCAGCTGCTTGGTGCTTGTGGGAGGTAGCGGGTTTGAGGGTGTTTGATTTATTTTATCGATTATTAAAAAAATGGCAGAATTATTTTTAGTATTAATTTTTGGAAATAGGCCTATATATACAACACAATTCACGACTACTTACCGCAAGGGTGTTCGCCATACAAACACGGATGCGCTTCGCGACTGCCAATCGGCAGGGAATGTGCATGTTTTCTTGGGTCGGGACGCTGCAAACCGCAAAAAGAAGTCCCGTCCACAATTTTGGCCGCCGCTGCTAACGCACCAGCTCCGGGTATCTCTCTCTCTCAAACGGGTGGGGATTCGTTACTTAATTTGACCCTCACTGACTGGCGCCAGTTCCAAATGGGGGATGCGTCCCTGCTCACACTGCGTCGTAAGGCTGGTGGCTCCGCGGAAGGCAGGGTCGGGGTTGATTCTTGGATATTGCGGGTCTCCTCATTATTTGGGATGGTAAATCCCTTCACTTTAAAATCGTTGTGCCATCCGCCTTGCGGGGTAGAGTCATTCTTGCCACTCACGAACGACTGTTGCATTTGGGGTCTCACAAGACCCTGGCCATGTTCCGGCTTGATTTCTTCTGGCTGGGCATGGCAAGGGATGTGTCGATCGTTCTCATGGGATGTGTACAGTGTGCCCAGTGGAAACCGCCAGCCAAGGCAGTCAGTCCGCTGCTGAAATCCATTCGGGTCTCACGCATCAACGCGCTCGTTGCGCTCGACATTATGGGGGCCGTTCCCAGCAACACCTAGAGTTAATTAGTACCTGCTGGTTGGCGTGGAATATTTCACTCGATGGTCCATGGCCTGGCCACTCGCTAACCAGTCGGCAGCAGCCGTTACCAAGGCCTTTGTCCAGGGCTATGTCCTGGACAAGGGTGCACTGGAGCGACTTTTGACCGATCAGGGAAATAATTTCTCAAGCTCTTTACTGCGTGACGTGTGCGACCTTCTGGGTACTAAAAAAGTGCGTACCTCCCCGTACCACCCGCAAACGGATGGGATGGTGGAGCGGCTCCAAAGGACGCTCACGTCCATGCTGTGCCATCAGGTGTGCGAATCTCAGGTGGATTGAGACCTCCAAATTCCGGGTGTTCTTCCCGCCTATAGGATGGCTCCCCACGCGGCTTCTGCGTTTTCCCCCTTCTTCCTGATGTATGGCAGGGATGTTGATCCGCCCATGGATGCCCAGTTGGGGATTCCGGCGCCCCGTCCAAAGTCCAAGTTGGCTGATCACGTCAAATTCAACCTTTTGAGATTGGCCGAGGTACGGGAGGCTGCGGCACAGAATTCGAGCTCTCGCCAAAAAGCGAACGAGCGGTTGCGTGCACACTGCACACACGAGTGGAAGCCGGGTGATAAGGCCTGGCTACACTGTCCGCAGGTACCACTGGCAACGTCACCGAAACTGCTGAGGCCATGGAGAGGGCCGGTCGAGGTTGTGCAGGTCGCGCGGCCACAATGTGTTCGGATTAAGTGGGGGAAGCAGCTATGGTATGTTCACCCCTCACGGCTGAAACCGTTCATTCCACCTCATACCTACCCTACATGTTCCAAGGGCCGAGCATGTGATGTGTCCGTCGACTCGGGGAATGTGATAACGTTGCCTGATCCTCACATGCCGTTGACTGTTCCACTTCCAGACACACCGGAATTGACGGCTTCAAAAGTGCATCAGCCACCGGATCCCGAAGATGAGTGTGGAACCGGGCAGCCCACTCCATGTCCTTAGGGGCTGCTTGCCTCACCCCCCAGACAACCATGCCCTGCCCCGTACGACGGGCCAGCCATTCGGACTCGTGCTAAGACACACTGGTTTTCGTAAGGAACGGCTGCTGGACTGTCCAAACAACTCTCTTCTCCCCGGATCCCGGACGTGTATATTGTTCATAGTGTTTATTTGTACAGGTGGGTTGGGGTAATTTATTGCGATTGTTATCGTTGTTGTTACTGTTATTGTTGCTTTTGTTATTGAGGCACACAGAATGGAGTTTCTTGTTACGGTTTCTTTATTGTTCACATTGTGTTACAGCCGGGACGGCTGCGGGATGTACGGGGGTGGGGGGGGGTGATGTGGTGGTGTTGGAGCACGCACACACCAAACCGGGCGACTTACAATACTTACCGGTGCGGGTGAGTGTGTCATCCCGGACCAGGCTTCCTGAGGGGATGGGGCTGTGGGGTCTGCGGGATCCCACAGGACCCCGCTCCTCTGGGAAGCGGTACAAACCTGTTGTGGGCGGTTGTGTGTGATGTGGGTCCAGGGCCTCCTGAGGGGAGGGGACTGGGGGGGTCTGTGTGATCCCACAGAAACCCGCCCCTCAGTGAGAAATTGTATAAAAGGTGGGACTCAGAGAGCAGAGAGTTCAGTTCGACCAAGCCAAGACGAAGAGCCAGTGAAGAGAGAAGACCGACTAGCCAGACCCTGGAACTCTCCTGACTTGCTGCCCATTTCAGGGCCGGGCAGAGCAAGCCAGGGTGCGACCCCAGAGCCGCGAGGGCCGATGTCCTTCTAAGGGCTGGACTCATGTGGCTGGTGGTCGAGACCTGCGCCGAAGCTGGGCCAGGTCAGTTAGCCTCCGGTAAAGAGGACTAGAATAGAGGGAGGTAGGGAGTTATCGTGGGCATTAACTCAGGGAACACTTCCCTCTATATAGAACGGGTGAAGAGGCCGTTACCTCTTCAAGTGTCAGGGTCGCTACTGTTAGAAGTATTTGTAATAAATACGTGTTGCCTCAAGTCAACAGTCCCCATCGTCATAAAGGCCACTACACATTTCAAGAGGAAGTAGTATCTATTGACTTTGCAGTTGTATCTACTGACTGTACAGTAATATCTACTGACCGTAGTGGTATATATTGACTGTTTTAGTATCGACTAACTATATATAGCAGTATCTACCAACTCGATAGCAGTATCTACTATCACAACATCAGTGCATACTGACTGTGGTGGTACCTGCTATGATTACAGCAATGCATACTCACTGTGGTGGTACCTGATTTCACTACAGCAATGCATACCGACTGTGGTGGTACCTGATTTCACTACAGCAATGCATACCGACTGTGGTGGTACCTGCTTTCACTGCAGCAGTGCATACTGACTGTGGTGGTACCTGCTTTCGCTACGGCAGTGTATACTGACTGTGATGGTACCTGCCCTGGTCCACCAAAATCTTTACAGGCATTTTCGCAAGGAAATCAGTACCCAACAAGCACGGCACGTCCAAGGGCCTGGAGATTAGAACCGGCCCCAACGTGGCGACCTCCCCGATCGCGATATGAGCGTCCACCTGACCGACGATGCCCATGCTACCCCCGTTAGCAGCTACACAAGCGGCAAAAGCCGGATGAACACGCGATATGGGAATCGATAACAATTGAAAGATCACTTCCGAAATGATCGTAGCGGAAGCCCCCGTGCCAACTAAGATGCGGACATCCACCCCTTGAATGGAACCAGGTGCCGCTGAGGATCCCGCAGCCGCCGGGACTAGGTGACGTGCCAATTTTTTCCATTGGGTCACCGAAACAGGCCAATGAATGCAGCTCTACAAACCCCCAAATCGCGATACCAACAACCGTGCTCCGTGGTATAAGATGCATGAGGTGGCAAATTTGGTCGGGTGTCCGACGTGTACCGACTCGCCTGTGAGGGATGATGGTGATCTGTCGGAGAAACAGCAGGAGCCTGAGCAGCAGGCAGAGTCAGCGACCGAGGGTGGCCCGTGCACTCCCTCGCGAAGTGGCCCAAGCGGCCACACCGCAAGAGGGCAAGACCACCCCAATGTCCCTGGCCAAGGCCAACATGCGGTCCATGACCAACCAGTCAAGGACCTCCTGCTTAACATCGGGGTAGGCGGCCACAGCCAATGCCATAAGGGAACTTCGGTAGGCGAGCGGAGACTCCGAGCTTCCCCTTCTCCGATGCATAAACTTTCATCGGGGGCTGGAAGGTGGTTCATAGACCTCCACCGTTTTGGCATAAACACTTTGTAGCGTCTTCTTCTCAGGGGGGATCGATCTAAATACCGCAAGAGCATCGTCATCCAGGATGGTCGGAAAAGCGACCAGCGCCTCCTCCTCTGACCATTGCACTGACCGGAACGCTGCCTCAAACCTCCAAGTGAAGGCACTCCAATCGCCGCCGGCAGCGAGGAATTATTTTACATGCGGAAGCCGGCAGGTGCGCTCAGCCCCGTGTCGCCCAGCAGGAGCAGCGGCCCCCGCAGCCAGCGTGCCACGCGGCTCACTGGAAATGGCGGGCTCTGACCGCGCCTCAGCCACGCCGCCCAAGATGGCGGCGTCCTGCCGCGTGGTCTCCGCAGCGCGCATAATGGCGGATGCCTCCACAGTGCCCGCGACGGCGGCCGTCGTTTCCGCAGGGAGACCCTCCGAGGCTCCAGTCTAGAGCCTCTGCACGTCACCCCTCAGCAGTACCTCCTGCAGGTGCCCCGATGACGTGGACGAGGCGACGAGCGATACCATCTGGAGAAGCACTGTCCGCAGCGACTCCAGCTGCCCCTCTATCCTCCACCAGCCGTCTTCCACCTGCCATGGTGAAGAAGCCGCAGCCGCGCCGCCCACTTCTGGTGCGGCGAGTTCACCAGCCGCGGTTCCTGTAACCGGGACCATGAATCCCGGGGTCGGCAGGCCTTAGGTCACTGCCTCGTTGTCGTCGGAAGACGCAACAGGTGGGTTCTTCTTCTTAAGATGCTTGGAGATTTCTATTTCCGTTGCATGTTTCCATCTCCAGAAGAACCATTTCTGACTCCAATGTAATAAACAACTTCCACGACGACTCTGGACTGGTGTCTTTTATTTAACAGAATGTCTCTCTTTCCGGATGGCTTCCCTCTCTCTCTACTGCCGTGATGCGTGCTTTCTCTCTTCCACCATCGCGGCGCATCTCTCTCTCTCCATACTCGCCGCTGGCTGGCGGTGCGCTGGGAGGAGAGAAGGCTTCGCTGGCAGAGCCCACCACATAGCCGGTAGCGAGTAGAGGTAGGCGATGATGCAGACTGGACTCCAGACTCCCCACACCGACCTCGAGTCCTCTCCTGTCTCCGCTTATATGCCCCCCGGCAGAGCTAAGCTCCGCCTACGGCCACGCCCCCTCGTGGAACCCTCTAGATGGTTCCCGAATATTCTCCGTAGCTCCGCCTGTTACCTTTGGCCTAGATTGAATCCCTACTCCCGATTGGATACCGGTTACCCAGCGGTGGCCGTACAGATGCCCCCGTAACCCCCCAGGTGGTGCTCTCTCATTACACAAGTACTGTATTGTTTCTGCACAGGTAAGGCGATGGTGGACTACATCGCCGCGTATCTAACTGGGCTACGTGACCGGCCCGTGAACCCATCCGTACGGCCCGGCTACCTGCGTCCCCTGCTGCCCCCTGGCCCCCCGCAGCAAGGAGAGGCCTGGGAGAGAATCTTTGAGGACATGGAGCAGCTCATCATGCCTGGGGTAAGGCACCCAGCCAGAGAAACATGAATAAGATAGGATGAAGCTAGGATCATGCCTTACAAGATGTGGTGAAACCTGAAAACACGTCGGAGCACTATTTAATTTCTGCTTTATTAATGCAAGTGACATGCATGCAGATTGCGCACTGGCAGAGCCCACACATGCATGGATATTTCCCGGCACTCAACTCGTACCCATCGCTTCTTGGTGACATGCTGGCGACTGGGATTAATTGTGTCGGCTTCACATGGGTACGTCTGTGTGTAAGAGTGCCGCATTTGCATAACGACAGCTACGACTATTCACCACTAAGTGTCAGTGATGTCACCACACAGCGCTTGTACCAGGCTAGGTGCATACACAATGAGTGACAGTACATATAAAACAGATCGATGGACAACCATCAAAAATCATGTGGGAACTCTTTGAGATATGCATCTTAGTTAAATGAAGACATTTGGAAACGTTTTGAGAAAACAAGATGCAAGGGTAACAATACAAATGTACAAATTTAACTCAAGTTTGAAAACATTTGCTAAATAATTTAAATAGTTTATTACACAATCATTACAGCAAATTAAGTATTTACATTTGATATAAAATCGCATAATGTTGAAGAAAATGTGTTCATGGATATATTTTAAGATATGTAAGTAAAAAATATATTCAGTGAATAGGGGGGCCCAGGGAAGATCAGATATTGCTTGCCACGAATGTTAAACATGGCCAGACTTAATCTGGTAAGACTTAATCTGGCCCAAAAAATATTCAGATTTTTTAATTTACAGAATAAAAAAACACGTGCAAGAAACGGTTTTTTTTACAAATTCAAAATAAAATTTATTTGCAAGCTGAGACTGTAGGTAGGTTATTTGATTCAAGTAAAATTCCTTGTTTTATTGGTTATTGAGCAGCTCCAACACTATTATTAAAACTATGGTAACTGTTGATGCGTGATCTGGGCCAGGCATCTAACCCGGCGTCCACGGAGCTGCAGATAGTGATGACGGACTGGTTGGTGGACATGCTGTCGCTCCCTGCCACCTTTCGACATGATCACCCAGACGGATGTGGAGGTGGAGTCATACAGGTCCTTGATCTATATCATCATCATATTTCCAACACTTTGGTTTACAAAGCAGTACATTTAAAATCTAAATACATCTAAAACGATCAACAGATTAACAGAATAGGCAAGAAAGATTAGAAGAAAACATTTAAGGGGTGGAGAGTGGAGACAGACAGGAGACCATACTCAAAAGAGTATGGAAAGAGTATGGATTCCTGTAGTCACGAAAGCTTAAAATCAAGACAGACAGGAGAATTGATAAGATGGCGCTGTAGAAATACAAGTTGGAAGTGATGAGTTTAAGCAGAGTTTTGAATGCTGGAAGGGACCAGTTGATATAAATGAGTGATAGCAATTGTCATATTAACTGCGATGTAATAGTGACACACTTTCACATTTGTTCATCAGGGTGTTTGCATGGCCTGCATGTGTAGCACAGTTGCCTCCAAGGTCAGAGTGGACCATATTTTTAAAACTTTTGATAAATTATAATTATTAATGGTTCAATTTGTTGCACTTATCCCAAAAATGTGTGTGGGTGTGTACTTGCGTTTTTGTCGAACAGAGCTCAGTGAGCGAATGCACCATGCTGGCCCTTCTGGCGGCACGGACACGCGCTCTTACACAGTTACGCGGCGATGTGAGCCAGGACGTCGGCAATGATGCACTCCTCAACTCACGACTAGTGGGGTACACCTCAGACCAGGTGTGGCAGTCTACACTCGCTAATGCCCGTGCCCACCTTGTTTTAAAATGGATTATTTCCCCCCCCCCACAAATTTTTAATAAAAGAATATTGAGCATTATCGTACGCTTTTGATGAATGATGCTTCAATCAGAGCGTGTGGAAAATGCTCCCTGCTTCTACTTATTTTCGTAACTTTTCCCTCTCTAAACTTAAACCTAATCGCACCTCCGATTAGCATGTTTGGCTACGGACGGTGCCAAAGACGTTCAATATACAGCCATACATAATTAAAGAGTACGAATGAAGGTCAATTCTGACTCCCGCCAGGCTCACTCGTCAGTGCTAAAGGTGAGCCTCATGTCGCTGGTGAGGCTGCGCTCACTGCCCACGGACTTGGAGTTCTCGCTGCGTGGGGAGACGCTCCGACGCGCTGTGGAGGAGGACAGAGCACAGGGACTTGTCCCATTCTTCGTGAGTTACTTAACTCCAAGCGTGAATTTGTGTATTGATGCAATGTGCACCAACATTTATTACAGTACTGTACTTGATTTGATTACCCAGAAAAAACCCCATCACTGAGTGTCTGGGACCATTTAGACAATTTGTTTTTAGAGAATTTTCATGTTTATAGGATACTGGAACATCTAAGAGCCTGAACAAAACACTGAAATTCCACACGTCAGAAACCTACTTGTTGCACAGTACTGTGATTGACTGCCTAGAAGTTACTGAATTACTCATAATGGGGTTTGTCTCGGCCTCACTGTGCGCTGCGTTGCACCACTGAGTAGATAACCTCGTATTCAATAAACCTTCAGAGCCAGGGTGAACATCTGACTCCAAACGTATTTAATGAATTGAACGAGGTAAAACTGATGGAAAAACACAGCGCAAATACAGCATCTGTTAATACTTGGAAATATCAATATAATGAATGAACACTACATCATAATAACATTGTCTTAGATAACATTAAACTCAACAAGAGATCCTGGATGGACCAGGCACCCACATTTGTACTGAACAGCTATACAAGAGAATTAGCTACTGCAGCCTAAATGTACAGCACTACACATAACACTGAACTGTGGATGAGATATTTCGTCATCCTTTCTCTCAAGATCACAATAAGGTCACATGAGTACAAGTCTGACTCGACTTATTCAATTACAAGTAACATTCACAATAAGGCGAGTGGCAGGCTTCATTGTTAACGAGGCCTCATATTTATCATAACAATTTAACGGCATTATAAAGGCATTTACGTAATTATAACGGTCATTCTAACATTATAACAGCATTCCCAGTATTATAAGAACATAAACGAACTTACAGACAACGGTTATTAAGGTCCCACAATGAACAGTTGCATATCTTTTCACGGAGACGTTATTTGTCCCTCCATTTTGTACTCTGTGTAATGGCTGACACCCTGCCGCGTGGCTGAGGGAATCTTAAATCGTAACTTCCTGGTCACGTGACCAAACTCAACCTCCAAACAGGAAATTCCTGTGTACACACACCCCTACTCCTGCCGTGAAGCAGAACAGGGTTTGTATTCTATTGAGATTCTGCACCACATGCTTGAATGTTTGTTCACAGTCGTCATACAGTACCTGTATTGATTATGTTTGAAGGATTCTTAACTTTTAAGCTTCACATACATAGCAACTGTTACTTATCAACATAACTTAATGATATCAAGTGCTCTGGAAAACCCATTCATTCAGTCATGCTGCAAGAAAGTGCCTTGCAACATAACCAGGCCACAATATGAACATGACAAGGATGCAACAACTTCCACATTAATTTAAATGTTGGCTTTGGTGTGGTTCAATTAGATGTGGTACTTGGTGTCACTTGCATGGAACAAAATACATGATGGAGGTGTAACTTCCCTGCTAATTAGCCATGTAAGCTGACAGGATATATGCAACATAGCTACTCAGTTTGTTTTATCGTTTCCACGAACAGTATGGCTCAGATGATGATAGCTCTCTTGGCAAAATAACTACGTGTGTATAATGCTTTCGTGCTCTCACCACCGTGCATCTTGTGCGTGTGTGTATCGGTGTGCGCAACCCTTGGCACAACAGGCGTGTGCACCTTTGACAACATGGCTGAACTGGGCCCAATCTGTGAGATGTGGTCTTTGAATTTCTCTTATTCCTAACACCCTAAGTTCATAACCGTTCTAATTGCGCCTCCGATTATCATGGTTGGCTACGTACGGTGCAAAAGATGTTCAACATACATACACACATAAACTTAAGTCCTTACCCATGAGATTTAAAAGCAGGAGCAAATGTTTGCTTACTGTAACTCATTTGTTTATACCTGGTTTAGGAAATCTTTTTACCAGCAAGAGCCCAACATCAGAGTGAAACACGATTATTAGCTTTCTTGCGATACACTCAGGCCGCCAGGAGGGGCTCTGGCTGCACGTGGACGCGGCGTACGTGGGCACTGCCTTCCTGTGTCCCGAGCTGCGTGACCCCCTGCGCGGGGTCGAGTTTGCCGACTCGTTCGTGGTCAACCCTGGCAAGTGGATGATGGTCAACCTGGACTGCGCCGTATTTTGGTGAGGCCTCCGTGAATCGTGCAACATACCATTTGGACAAGATCGCGTTGGCCTTGTTGCACGAAACACAAGCTGTTAAGGTTTGTTTATTTGGATTAAATTTTTCACTTCTCAATATCAGATATTTATTTGACCTGGAAATCAATCACATATACTTGTTTAATATGCTTCGATTTCCTGTTTTCTCGGAAGTTAAGTGCCAAAGAGTGCCGTGACAGCATTCCCACCCCACTGGCAACCGACTGATCGGTTTCATGAATGCCACAAGGGCATTGAATTCAAGAGATCCCACCCACTTCCACCTCTTGAACCAACTTTCACAGTTAAACTACGTAATCGCATGCCTCTTATTGGCCAGCCTGCCACACTTGACTGCACGCTAAGAGCCCGACTCACTGTGCCAGGGTGGCGGACAAGCGGAGTCTGCAGAGCACGTTCTGCGTGGAGCCGCACTACTTGCAGCACGAACACTCCGGTTCGGTCACAGACTTCATGGTGGGTGAATTTGCTGCACTAAATATGTTTTGTTGTAAAATGGCATGCATTCATGGAAGAGAACAGTTTATGCTCTATTACACTATGTATAGGCGTACCAAGCCAACAGCTCTGATATTCCTGGTGCAAAGAGTATGATCGTCTTTATACAATCTTAAGTAATTTCACAAACAAACCCGGACATTTTATGTGGGTATATTTGCTCTAAGAACACAGCAGATAACATCAGAAAACACCATCTTGTCAAGATGTCATTACCAGTTAATCTTGTTCTCTCTCTTAAAAAAACCATAGTTTAGCTCAGCAATTTACCTTAATATGAAAGTCTATTCTGATGTATAACAGCGGTTCCATTGTATTTAATATGTTTCTCTGCATTCTGTCATAAAAACACAGATAGAATGTATGTTTTGCTGTAACCAGTAACACCCAAGCTGTTATAATTTTGCTTAGATATGTGGGAACGTTGTGGAAGTTGGGGGGGAAGGGGAGGTGGACATGGGGGCCCATATCAAGTAGCCAAGGCAGCTAATGAGCACTTAAATGTGGGGGACTCATATTTTCACCCACTTTGATTCAGTCACTGTCCTCATGCCAAGTACAGTACATGATTGTGCTGTGAGATGTGTTAATGATCGGGGTGGTGTTTTCGTGCAGCACTGGCAGATCCCGCTGACTGTGCGTTTCCGCTCGCTCAAGCTGTGGTTTGTGATTCGCTCGTTCGGGCTGGACGGCCTGCAGGAGCACGTGCGCAGGGTGAGGGCCTCGTGTGACACGCGCTCCTAGTCACTGACACTCAGGACAGTTGAAACCAATGATAATATGTACTGTATATTTTTCTACAGACCAATAAACTTGCAAGGTATTTTGAAAGCCTCGTCAGAGAAGACCCCCACTTCGAAATTCCAGCGAAGAGCAACTTGGGACTCGTTGTGTTTCGTCTCCAGGTGAGATATTACAGCTTTTCCCCATGAAATTGCAGATGCAGTGGAACGCTTTTAATTGTTGGCCTCCACATTAGACTCTCCCCCTCTCTTTCCTCCTTTTGCTCTGCCCTCAGTTCCTTTCTCTTTTCTATCGCTTATTCTCTTCCACTGCCTCCACCCCTACCGGTTCCTTCCCCCGCCTCTAACCCACTCCCAGTCCCCCGGTCCACTTCCTATTAAGACCCTAATTCCTGACCCGGCTCCCACGTCTCATTTTCTCTATGTGCACCTAACCACATCTCTCCCCCAGCTGTCCACTGTTTCAAGTTTCATTTATTAGGTATAGCCCTGTGAGCCATGCGGCTCTTAAGTCGGGTGCAACCGCAACAAACAAAATATGAATACAGAAAATCCCAAAGCGACAACGCGCAACAGAAACAGCCTGGAATAAACCGGCAAATATTCCACGCAAAAAAACGTATTAAATGCTGTGTGCAAAAATCACAATGTGGTGCAAGCCAACAACAACAACCATAAGACAATTTAGATTAATAAAGTATTAAAGCTTTTATGACTGTATTTACAAGAGGTGGTCCTTTTTTGAGCTGCCGTTTTGTATGTGTAAGATGTGCGTGTTTGAGCTGCCGCTCTCGCTCTGGCCCCTCCCCCCCCTCCAACCGTATTTCCTATTTAAGCTTCTGTTCACCGCCCCCCCCTCTCTCTGCCTCCCTGTCGGTCTTTCCTCCCTCCTTTCCTCTTGGTGGACTTGTATATGTATTTCTACTGACCGTGTACCTCGTATTTTTCATTCTATATATGCTGGTATGTGCAATCCAAAGGTTGAACACGAAATTTAACACTCTTCTGAAATTCGTTGTCCGCCAGGAAGTGTCTAACTGTATTGTTGGCCTGACTGGATGTGCTTCACGTAATGTTTTTTCAGGTTTGTTGAATTCTCGTCTCTCATCTTTTTGTTGTATTTACCTCCTTGATTTGTTCTTGACACCTGATGAAGATCGCTTGCATTGTGATCGAAACGTCGTGATTGTTTTTTGTTTTAATATCATTTTATTGTATTTCTACATACGTGACTTTACCGAAAAAAAACAATGAACAATTTAGATTAACCATATGTTTTCGAATCACCAAAATAAAGCTATGAAAACAATGTAACAACAGTAATCAATGGAACTGTGATTTTAAATTTAACAATAAACGATATACATAACACGTACGACAAAACCTGCGGCCATAGCTGGCAGCACGACACTCCCAGTGTATGATGTATGAGCGAGTCAGCAGCAGCGTGAATGAGTGTATGATGTGTGAGTCAGCGCACGATGTGTTAGTCAGCGCATGAGTGAGTCAGTGTATGATGTGTGAGCGAGTCAGCGGCAGTGTGAGTGAGTGTATGATGTGCGAGTGAGCCAGCACACAATGAGTGAACCTGTGTATGATGAGTGAATGGGTCAGTGGTTGTGCGCGTGTATGATGTGTGAGTAAGCGCATGATGAGCGAGTGCATGATGTGAGTAAGCGCGTGATGAGCGAGTCAGTGCATGGTGTGAGTGAGTCAGTGTATGATGTGTGAGAAAGTCAGTGTCGGCTCCCTCTGCTAGCGCCGTCGGCCTCCCCCCGGCTCCGTCGCTACCCCCCCCCGGCTCTGTCGCCCCCCCCCCCCCGGCTCCGTCGCCCCCCCCTGGCTCCGTCGCCCCCCCCCCTGGCTCCGACAGCCCCCGCCCCCCCCCCCCCCCAGCTCCGTGTGCTCCTCAATCAGCTCAACTATCCGGCCACCAGACCTCTGCCCCTACTACTCTTCACCTACCCTCATCCATGTCCAGCCATACCACCTATCTTACCACTTCACGCATGTGCCCTATAACCAGCTGCCTCATCCACGTTGCACCCATCTGTCACCCTCATTCACCATCACACTCCACATTATTACTCCTTCCCTACCCCTGCAACATCATGCTCCATTCCCAGCCCCTATCCCTTTATCCCTTCCATCACCCCTCTCACTGACAGCCGCTCCACCCCACCCATTGCTCCCCTTTTGCCCCTTTGTGTACCGCCGTTTTCTTGCATTGTAAAGTGCCCTGGAAAGGGCCCTAAATAAATCTTAAATAAAATTTACTACTAGAATGAGCCAAGAATGTCTGCGTCCTGCGCGTGATGTCACTCCATGTCGGCCAGCCCCTCATTAATAATTATGAGCGGGTGACGTTACTCCACATGTAGCACCCCCCCTCATTAATAATCCTGAGCAGGTGACGTCACTCCACGTTGGCCAGCCCCCCTCATTAATAATCATGAACAGGTAACATCTTCCCAAATGGACACCTCCCCCTCCATTAATAATAATTAGCGGGTGACGTCACTCCACATGGGGGACCGATGTGCCTTCTCCCCCCTCCTCAGCGTCAACTCACAACCCTCATTACAGAGGCAGAACCCTCACGTCACGTGATCTCCGTGACCCTATTGAGACATAGACGTAAAAAGGACGTCATGATGAACAAGGGATTATAACCTTTAAATGAAATAAGTCTGTGTCACTGCGACCTTACAAATTGCTTTTCGCTTGCAAGTTTCAGATTTACTGAAATACACCCGTCCTTGGACGGGTGAAGAGCTAGTAGAATATAATTAGTTACCTAGCCTATGGCTTTGTCACTCTTTGAGTCTTCTTATCCAGTTATACCCTATAGGAATAGGTTTTACCCTTTTAACTGGCACAAAACTGACACCTTTATTCAAGGTATCATGTTTGCAATAACCACAACACAAGCAGTCAAAATGCAAGTTATACCCTCTTACCTTCAGTTGTGTCCTGCAAGGCCGTTAAGCTCATACGCAGAACTCTTCGACTGGTGGAGTGGTAGACTAACACGGTGGATGACAACCAACCGATGTCGATGGCTGCGGGCTAGGAAAGATGTGAGCGTGTCTATGGGACCATTTTGCCAATATAAAATTATGAAAAATAATAAAAGGTTTTATTGCCAGAAAGGGTAAAAACTATTCTTATTTTTCATCGCTGTTAACCTGTTGAGAGGTACAAAGGTTTAACGGCTGCAATAAAATAGATATTGCTTTATTCAAGCACCTTATTATATTGAGGCTGTTCTCGTTGCAGGGCCCAAACGAACTGACAGAGACACTTCTCAGGCGACTCAATCAGTCGCAGCAGCTGTTTGTGGTGCCAGCCATGGCCGGGGACAAGTTCATCATCCGCTTTGTCATCACGTCTCAGTTCACCACAGAGGCGGATGTGCTACGGGACTGGCGGCTCGTGTTGCAGGCTGCTACAGACCTGCTGCAGGGCTCAGCAGCCAAGGACGACGCGAGCGGAATGGAGATCTGCATTGTGGGCAGAGAGGAAGAGACTGCCCTTGACCACCAGAGTCAAGGGTGTCTAGAGGTCATGGCACTGGCCAGGAGTTAAGAGCTCTCTCGTGCCAGATGGTGGAAATCTCCCTGATATCCCCCAAATAATGTATTTACTTGAGGGCCGGATTTAAAAAGTTTGAGATTTTATGATCACCCCCCCCCGCCTCCTAGAAGTTTCTAGATCTGCCTCCATTGATATTTTCAACATTTAATTTGGAAGTGATGTAATACAAGTTGTGGGTACTGAATGATGGGGGCATATGGATATATGTTCTTTCATAAACAATTTTAATGTAATTTTATCTTATACATAGTTTTTAAACTAGAAATACACATTTGTCATTGGGGAAAAAAAGGTAGTGATTTCGTTATCAAATATTTTATAACTATCATTGCCTGGACATGCTTTATAACCTTATGCCCATTGGTCTGTATTCTATGGGTCAGAGGAAACGTCTTTAGTTATTGAACAGCTATAATATCTAAAGCTATTAACTTTTATTTACCAGGTCAACCCAATTAGCTATTTTTCAGAAGCGACCTGGTCACAAATGATAGCGCAACGAAGTGCTTATCATGTGAAATTTTATAGCAACGAAATAAAGAAACATGTTTCTAAAGTGGAGGGGAAACCCGGAGGACCCAGAGAAAAATACACTCGACCACAGGGAGAGAGACACGCAAACTCCAAATATACAGCAGGCGTCAGGGTTGGGATCGAACCCACGACTGCTTGCATACCAAGCAAGGGAGATAACATTTCTCCACCGCGGTACTCCTCTCGCCACCTAGTTATGGGGAGGCATTGCACAAAATATCTTGAATATCCCCAAGCGCCATGACCATAATCACCAACAGCACTACGAGATTGCTCAGTTGTTACAACCATTTAACGAGCAACTGCTGATTGAAAACCTCCAATCCATATTGGTCACAGGGGCTGTTTGACCATAATTCAGCATGATGGGCAGTGCAGGTTAGAGAATGGTGGAGGATACCGCCCGCCACAAACGTTGGCCGTGACCAGTAATTGAACTCGGGTCACCGAGATCATAGCATAGCACGCTGACCACAATGGAGACTGCAACCTTCAAGGTGGCCAGCAAATGGCAGTATAGATATTTGTCATTACATATTATGTGTAGGTGTTCGCTCATAACTCTGCTTTCGGATGACACAAAAGACTAAAAATACTGAGTTGGCTCGGTGGCTCAGGAATTGAGCTGGATTAATAAAAATCCCAACTGGTGTCAGATATCAGCCTCTTATTATTAAATTGAGGCATTACTTCAGCACCATGGTTCCTCCTAACTTTCTGACTAACCTGCCCCGACTGGACATTTGTAAAAAAAGAGCTTCATAGCACATCGGATTCCTCCAGGATGAATACAGATTCTGATTCTGATCCCTTCTCTGAGGAATTACTTGGCTCAAACCCCTCACGCTCGTCACTCAGAGCTTCACTTTTCCACTGACGATGCCCTCGTAGATTTGTCGCGTTAGTGGCGTGTAGCTGCACGCTGCACTGTCCAGGTAAAACAGGGGCGCACGGATGAGCGCCGGGTTGAAGCCCTCCTGCAAGAGGTGCGTCTTGATCTGCTTGTATGTGTTCGTCAACTCCAATGCTTCCTGTGTGACAAGGGGTTCAGGGTGTGACATCCGGAATGGTAAAATAAATGGAAAAACACACTACGAGTAGACAAAATAATCATAGATAAATCCTGCCCCTGCTGGACATCTGTGAAAAGGAGTTTTGTAGCTCATCGCATTCCTCCAGTATAAATAAATATTCTGATTATGATTTTGAATTACAATAAAAAAGTGTAAACAAACTAAAGGATGTCTGCTGTTCTTCGGTATAGATTATATCAAATGCCCATATATTTATGTAATGATCTTCTTTGGTTCTTTTGGTAAAGTCACGTAGAATGAGAATAAAATAATAAATTGATAAAATAAAATAACACAATAATATTCTCACGATGTTTCGGCCACAACACAAGCGGCCTTCATCAGGTGAAGGGTCGAGACTGTCTGGTAGGACAGCGCTGGAGTGAAAGAGCCACGTTCAGATCACGGCCTTTAAGCTGTGTGAGAGGAACAAAGCGCCTTGACAAAGGAATTAGCATATAATTTAGCATTGAAATGGCTGAATGATTAGCTTGTGACTGGTCACAGAAATAGCTATGTTAAAAGTTAAAGCATACACATCCGCAGAGGCACCCCTTGATAAAGGAATTAGCATAGCATTTAGCATTGAAATAGCTAAGTTAAAGCATACACATCCGCAGAGGCACCCCTTGACAAAGGAATAAGCATAGAATTTTGCATTGAAATAGCTGAGTGATTAGCTTGTAACTGGTCACAGAAATAGTTACGTTAAAGTCAGAGCATACACATTCACCGAGGCACTTAGTACAAATCAAACAGGAGAATTTAGCATTGAAATAACTAGGCGAATTTAGCATTGAAATAACTGAGTGATTAGCTAGTGACTGGTCACAGAAATGACTATGTTGAAGTCAAGGCCTACACATCTGAGCTATTCACAGTACTATATAGTGAACCAATAAAAAACTAAAATATAAATTTCCTTAATGTTATCAATAAACTCTATATTCTCCAATCAGCTAAGCTACCAACAATAAGTCGTTATATATCACAATGCTATATGGCGAAAAAATGGGTGGATTCTTACCCTCAACTTTAGCACCACGGATAGCTACGGGCCCCGTTCAGACGGACGAGTTCATCCATGGTCGGAACAGAGGAGGGGGAGAGAGACAGCTGCGAGGCGCTATTATACTCCATGTTGTAAACCATACCATTAACCGTGGTGTGAGAGGTATTAAGAGTCAATGCTGGCGAAAGAGCTGCGGTCTGAAGGTCATCGTAAAAATACAATTAATTAAGAACATAAATGGTTTAAAACATCTTTCCAGTGGTGCCTCTGCAGATGTGTATGCTTTAACTTTTAACATAGCTATTTCTGTGACCAGTCACAAGCTAATCATTCAGCCATTTCAATGCTAAATTATATGCTAATTCCTTTGTCAAGGCGCTTTGTTCCTCTCACACAGCTTAAAGGCCGTGATCTGAACGTGGCTCTTTCACTCCAGCGCTGTCCTACCAGACAGTCTCGTCCCTTCACCTGATGAAGGCCGCTTGTGTTGTGGCCAAAACGTCGTGACAATATTATTGTGTTATTTTATTTTATCAATTTATTATTTTATTCTCATTCTACGTGACTTACCGAAAGAACCAAAGAAGATGAATCATTGCAGTCACGATAGCTTTAAATCGAAATTTATGTAATGATATTAACATTTTGAGCATGTACAGCACATTATTTACTACATTGCCATGATCTGAAAATAACTCAAAAGCCAGAGTTTTTCTACTCAAGTAACCATGGGGCAGTGACCATCAGGAGTATGTAGCCCTTAGCAAGTGGTGGAAAGTCTACATTCCTATGGCATGGTGAGCTTGTATGTACTTCTTTTGCACCGTACGTAGTCAACCGTGCTAATCTGAGATATGTGGGGGAAAGACAACAAATCAAACACAAAAAATAAAATAAACACAAACCAAAGAAGATGAATCCTTGCAGTCACGAAAGCTTTAAATCGAAATTTACACACAAAAGCTTATACATAGTAAAACCACTTGACTGTAAAACTCAGTGGTAGCACAGTGGTTGAGTGCAAGCATTGCAATCAAAAGGTTTTGAGTTCAAAGCCCTGTTGGGGATCGGACCTGAGCCCTTCAACCACCCATCCATCACGATCAGCCATAATCCAACTGCTGGATTAAGGCCTCTCCATATCTCACAGTCCTGCGACAACACTCTGTAGGCTCCATGGCGTACAACCTCTACCTGCAAGCGGATGAAGTAAGGGCGGGCGTATGTTGGCAAGTGTCCTACAACGTGGCGGTACAGCTCCGGGCCGTCAAGCGAGTGGCCCTCCTCCAGGATCACAGCTGCCATGCCGGCCCGGCCCTCGTTATCTGAGAACAAAAACCGCAGTCACCAGCAGCAGTGGTGGTGGTTAATAGTGATATTTTTTATGGTTTCAAACTAAGGTTCAAAGCGTTTATGCATTCGCTCTGTCTGCCCAGAACGACAACTCTCGTAAAGATGATCCAATATATATGAACCTGTAGTATGAAGTTGTCTTAATATTTTGGACTTGCTTTATTGAAAACAAGATAAACTGATCAAAGAATTGGCCAAAACGTTTGCCCTGACGGTTACCCATCAATTTATGTACTGATAATTACACACATTGGTGTTAGAATCCTCTATGCTTACGTGTTACTTTTTATAACTTGTTTAACTACGTTCATTATCAACAAGAACAACGAGTGAAGACAAAGAAAACGTTCATAACATCACAAAATAGAAAATAATAGAAATGTATTCAGTGCCTATAAAACGTTTCTTAGCATGTGGTTACCCCCATGCATATTATATTGACTACATAATAATTGATAACCACATATATAATGCAAACATTGTTCATTTGGTGAGGGCGATCCGATACATGTTTTACTTCAATAACTCGGGTATAAAATGAGATCAACGTTGATTAAGCTCGTGATATATGATTGCCGAGCACAGGCCCAGAGGCCCAACATGCAAAGCGGCCAGCAACACCCCACCCCGCATTATTGAAAGTAGACAGGTCATCGTTAATACATCTCTTGAATTGAGCAAAGTTATAAGAACTTGGCAAAATGGAAGGAAGTTCCAAAGTTGAGCAGTTGCGAGGGAATAAGAGGATAGAGAAATATTTTAAACTGCAGTGTGGTGTGAATGCGACAAGAGTAGTCTGAATCGGAATATTTATTTATTCATACTGGAGGAATTCGATGAGCTATATAGTTATTTTCACAGATGTCCAATAGGGGCAGGTAAGAACGTTACAACAACAATCGATACAAAAACACGATAGCAGTGCAAAGTACAAGAAAGGTAAAGAAATCAGCCTAAAACATACGAATAAAACGAAACCATTTCCACCGTACCAGGTGAAGCCCACTGAGGTATTAATTAGTCTGGAAGATTGAGTCCCCAACATGGGAGCAGGAGGAATCACTGAGTGAAGTTCACGGGGACAGAAACCATGGTAGTAGCGATAGAAGAGTGGTGAGAAAGTGAGCAGGTGCTGAATCATTCATCAATCTGCTTTCCATTGAAGTTTTGTTTTAAAGTCGATCATTAGCTGCGCCACCAACTTGGGATGGTGACACCATACACTGTGACTTCCTTGATGAAGTCCAGGTCACCCAGAGTGTCTGCCACCTCCATGGTCGAGACGTTCTCACCTTTCCACCTTATCGACAGAAACAAGAAATCATTCAGGGTATGCAAAAATAAATTCAAACGAGTTCAAGCCAGTCGGGTGTAGCCAAGGTCACTCGCAATGGGCTAGCTCTGAACACTGAGCTGGGATTGCCAAAATAACCACACCTGCATATATGAACCATAACCAAAAGTAGGAATACACGACTTCCATTTGGGATATGATGATGCTGATGATGATAATTCCAGATGCTGATGATTGATGGGTGTCCTAGGTATGGCCATTATTATTTATCTGGAGAGAATCTAATAGAACACAATTGAGGAAGACCAGGGGAAACCACCTCTACTCTTCTTTCTGAGATCCTCCAAAGCAGGGACAGAGGAGAAGTAGGAGGTAAATTGGACATCAGGAGCGTGAACTATGGACCTGTCTCTTAGGCATTGAACTGAAGACAGAGAAAATGAAAATGAGAGCGACAATCACCTGAAAGTATCCCCAACCCTGTCGATGAAATAGATGAAGCCCTCTTTGTCGATGCGCATGATGTCTCCCGAGTTGAAGTAGCGGTCCCCATGCATGAACACGTTGTGCAGAACCTTCCTCTGCGTGAACTCGGCGTTCCCCAAGTAACCATCGAATGGCATGTGCTTCGAGATCGGGGCCACCAGGAGACCTGGCTGTCCTGCTCCACCAGCCCACATGCCGACAAATACAAAGATCCCCCATATAAGCTTTAACAGACTTAGGGCAAGTACTGTTCGGAAGCAGCTATGAATGCAAATAATATTTTTGAATCTCCTCTTGGTGTGTCTGCCTTGTTATTGAGCTATGGTCGTCAGTGTCTGGTGCCTTCACCTCTGGGTAACGGGATGCAGAAGCCCTTGTCATCACGCACGGGTCCATCCTTTTCATGGTCATACTTAACCAGAGCATACTTTATCAGGAGCTGAAACGAAGCAAAGCCACACGAACAATTTCAAGACCACTCATCTTTCCCTTGTAGTCCTCCCGCACAAGGTATAGTTGTTACCTTTGACTGTTGGTGCAAAGGCTGTCTTACAAATAATTTTAGGTCATTATTTAATTCCACTGAGGAGACGAATCTTTTGTGAATTTTAAGACACTAGATTTAAATTACTTTGTTTGCTGGCTTACGGTTGTGATAGTTAACTTTCTGCAAATTGTACTTTGTATTGTATTTCTTCTTGATTTGCACTTCATGTCTTGCTAACAAAAGAGATGTTTGTCTTTTGGTATGTATTCATTTGCATTCTTAATCATACAATATTCAACGTGCCAAAGTCCATCTTTGTAATATGCCTGTGGATTTGGCCAGTGCTTACCTATCGAACGTTGCTCATGATGATCCCAATTTGAACAAACCCTAGAGGGCCCCACTCAACAAGATCCAAATGCCCAGCAACAGCTAAAGCAGCATTTTCACCTCTCATGGTGATCAAGAGTGTTATGGGTCGATATTAACCAGGAAAAGAGATTATTTATGATACCGTGTTGGCACAAGTAACAAAAACTCAACACGTTTCTTAATAATGCTGCCTTAAAATTAAAATATATAAAATATTTGTGCTATAAAGAAGGGCCATTGCCCTACACATCACCTATTATATACTATTTCCTTTTTAGGTCAATAGTGTTGTTGACGAACGTGTTGAGTTTTGTTAACATCGTCCCGAGACAGCACACCCAAAATACAGGCACACTCCCTAAGCTAACCTTGATCCAGGCAGTCTGCGAAGAAGGAGGTGTGGTAAGAAGCCAGGATTTGACAGCGGAATAACAACAATAACAACGGCTGAGAAATTACGACGCACACGCAGGAAGGGCAGGTCCCGGCCGCAGGCCCCGAGCTTTCCATCCACGTTGACGAAGCCCACGTTGCCCTCGGTGGCGCCGTAGAGCTCGCAGAATCTCACGTCCCCGTGCCGCTCAAGAAAACGCGCCCACACGTCTGCTCGCATTCCGTTCCCCACGGCCATGCGTACCGAGTGCACGCGGTCCAGCTCGTTCTTGACAAGGCACGCGAGGGAGGCAGGGAGGGTGGGGAAAATAATGTTCCTTGAGCGAAAGTTCGTTTTCGTACCATCTATGGAGAAGACGTGATAGTATGTGTGCCATCACTGACAATGCGGAAAATCTATAAGGTGGTGTACTATCACTGAGTAGGTGTTTTGGCACTTGTGCTGCACTAGTCTATTTCTCCGATGTGTTTTCGGTGTTGTTACCGTGTGTCATTGGGCATTATGTCTGACATTTTCCTCCACTTGCTTAGGAGCTTCTTCACTGAATTCCTGAACTGAATTCACTGAAGTATGGTCAAACCCTCCACCCCTCCCATGATCCACATGCCATTGAGAAGCCCTCCTCATGCAGCAGAGCCTTTACAAAAAGGGCTGTACATGTCCACGTACATGGTCCTTATTTTGAGGGCCCATGACCCGCAATTGCTTGATCCAATTGTCAACGCGCATTGATCGGTAACGAGGCAGCACTTGGCACCTTGGGCTGGCTGAGGAGGTAGCGGCAGATCTCGCCGACGTACTGGAACACGGTGACGCCGTGCCGGCGGCAGTCTCCCCAAAAGTGGCTCGCGGAGAACTTCCTCCGCAGAACCAAGCGCGCACCTGCAGCCAGGGGGATGAGACGACGAGACAACACGAGGGGTGGGGGTGGGGAGAATGGGATCAGTGCTGGTGGCAGTTTAACACGTGGTAGGCTTTCGCGACCAATATCATCCATAAGAGGTTTTTTTTTGTGGGTTAGATCACGTAAATATACAAATGTGTTGTTGAAACCCGCCACCACCCGAAACAGCCAACTAGTAAGGGTTGTCACGTAAACAGAACGTGCCAATTCGTCATTAGTACAGCACACCAGTGTGTTGGAGAGCCAAGCCACAACATTTACAATCTGAGTACAAAGTTTTGCCAGTAATTACAACTAGCTTCATCAGGCAACAGCCAGATCTGTGGAGAAGTCCGCCTGTTTCGTTCCTTATATAGAGGCGTAGATGTGGTGACCACACTTCTGCGCTCTTGCGAGGTCAGGTATCATATGACCTCAGTCAACCCACGGCACCTGGGTCTGTCCCGTGACCTCTTGCCAGCGAGCCTTCGAAACGTGGCTTCAAAGTGCACCTGGCCTGTAATAAACGCAGTAATGTCACCGCCACTTCGTGGCAAATTGCGAATGCTGTTGTGTGTCTGGTGTCATCCCATAACCCGAACGCAAACTCTAGACCTTGTCCTAATCTTAACCCAATCCAAGCCGTAACCCTGTGCTCACCCTCATATAAACCCATGTTAAAACCCTATTCATACCTGATTCCTCACCTCAACCCAAAGCCTCAGGTTAATCCTATTCGTTATGCCCTACATTCGTGGTTCCCACCCTGTGGTCCGAACAGGCTGTGGGAAGTGGTCCACGGAACTGCTCGATTTTTTTCCTACTTCACAAAGCACCGTTTTTTTTCTTTTTTACTGCCCATTGTACAACTATTTCGATTGTATCGCGACTCGTACACACAAATTGGCGATTGACTGAATCTGCTCATTTGCTGACATTGATTTACTGACGTTCTAACACCTCAGATTATCACGGTTGGCTACGTACCATGCGAAATTAGTTCAACATACATGCATATTTGCATGGTGGTCCACCAAACTAACCTGAGCACCGAATCATATTCTTACCCTCTCAAAACCAGGGCAAAGATCCCCCGTGTGGCCTTTAACAGACTGTTGGGGCAAGTGCTGTTAGCGAGCACCCGTGAAGGCCGGCACTTGTGGCACACGAGGGGGTGTGTTTGGTTAGCGCCACATCCAGTCGCCTGTATCTCCCTCGTGTGGCGATGTTGACGCATCGGACCAGGTACTCATTTTAATGCTGAGTCGACCTTTCAGGAGGAGGCCCAAAGAACGGTTCAGATAATCGTCACTGGTCTTGGCCGTGAGTGGGAATGGAACTCGGGCGGCTGGGTTCGAAGTGCAGCGTAGCGCTAACCGCTCCCCACGACATCTCCCCACGCAAGCAGAGAAAGTGATACTCTTTGGTTCTATTCGGTAACGTCACGTAGGTAAAAAATAAAACAAAAATCACGACGTTTCGGCCACAACACAAGCGGCCTTCATCAGGTGAAGGGACCAGGCTGTCTCGAGGACAGCGCTGGAGTGAAACACAGCCACGCTCAGACCGCGACCTTTAAGCTGTGTGAGAGTAAGATGCACAGTGCCCCTCCTGGATAAAGTTGTATAAGTGCGCTAGATGAGAAAGCAGCCAACGTTCATCATTGGACGTTCCTTGCCTGGATAAAAAATTCAGAATAGGTTTTACCCTTTTTGGCAATAAAACAGCGCCAAATCAAGCTTAATAAAACAGGTGTTAAGATATATAAACACCAAACTGTGGTTATATGTGGTTAATGCAGACATGATTCATTGCAAAAGGTTTCAGTTTGGTGTTTAAATATCTTAACACAACTGTTTTATTGCCAGAAAGGGTAAAACATATTCTTATAGCCAACGTTCAGTTTAAATCTGAACAATGTAGTGTTGTTGTATATATAGGTGTTATGAAAATTGATGAAAAAAATAAAAATTAAATAAAATTTAAAATTTGCATAATTTATCCGAAATTATGTTAATTGATGGAATTATGCACATAAATTATGCTGATTCGAGAGATAATCGTATTAATTTATGCGAGTGGGCGTGGTTATGATAATGCAGGTCGTTATGGATTATCAGGTCGAGCCTCGGTGACGAGGATTGTGTTATGAATTGGAATAACGCAATTGATCGTATGCAGTTCTGTGGGTCTTGTGAGCATGAATGAGAGAGAGTCGATTCGACTCTGCTATTTAATTCCGTATTATCGATAAGGATACGATTACTCTCGATTGAACATGATGAATTGTGTGTGTTATGGATTATGTGTGGTGATAGTGTGCTTATGATAGGTCCCCAGGATTCAGATCTCATACGCAGAACAATATTATGCAGAATTTCAGGAAGAATCACACACAACCCTTATGCTTTAATCAATTTTATTTCCTAGCTAACTTTAATTTTTGGATAATATGAAAACTCAATCTCGGGATTTTGGAATTTCAACACAGCGTTAACATGATACCATCACGATTGCGTTGTTTCACTTTGATAACGGCACCTGTGGTTAATTCCCGACGCGTAACGCAATCGATCAGTTGTTGAGAGAGAGATTAATACATGCAAACTATTCTATAAAACCTTAACTCTATTATATGCAATTTCGTATACTTGAATTGTTACACAAGCCGGCACTCGGTCTTTGATTCGTATCCAATCCTTAACACATTCTGATATGCGACATGATTATGCTTGAGATCGTCAGCACAGTACCACGGCGATGTTCATTCATTGATTCATCAACGATTATGCAATTAGCGTTCGACTTAAATAATTCTGATTGCCTCATCAACGTAACTCAATGGGTGGCGATGTTTTTCGTTGTCAGCTAATAGTTGACGCAGGTATCATGAGTCTTGTATGTTTAATGGGAGCGTTGTTGATTTCTTGCGTTGAGCAAACGCCTAGGTTGATTTCCTTGTCAAAAAAAAGTTTGTTCGTTGTGTAGCGGTGGGGGAGTGAGGAGGGGGGGAGAGTGTGGGGGGAAGGGCATACGACCCCCTGCCAGTTTCTGTCCACCGCTGGCTGGATGAGTCAGCACGACGCTCGCCGTCGTCGCGCCGATGGGTGTTGAGTGCGGGGCCGCTGCCCTCTCAGCGCTGGTGACGCGAAGTTGCGCGCTGTGGCACGCTGGTGGCACGCTGTTGGCACGCGCTGGTGCTGATGCTGGTGCTGATGGCACGCTGGCGGCGCGCGCTCCCTCTCCTTGAAGATGCGCGAACGTGCCCGTGCTGGTTCGCTGACAGCAGTTTCCTCCACTGCTGGTTGAGCTGCTGCACGCTCTTGCTTGGCGTTGCTGGCCGCGCTCTTTCCGCTGCTGTAGTATCTGACGCTGCGCTCGAGGGCGACAGGTCAAGTTTTTTTCTGCTGAGTGAGCCGAGTCGCACGCGCTCTCTTTGTTGAGGTTGTTGGCGGCTCTCTGGCAGCAGGTTTCCTCCACTGCTGTATGACTCAAGTCGCACGCGCTTGGTCGCTGGTTTGCTGAAGTTGTTGGCGGCTGCCCAAGCTTTTCCGCTGCTGGTTGAGCTACGTTGCACGTGCTTTCTCTGTGGAGATGCTCGAGCGCTCTCAGCGCTGATTCGCTGATAGCAGTTTCTCTCCACTGCTGTATGACTCACTTTCGTTGATACATGGCGACTCATGCGATCCTCGCTACTCAGCGAGGCTCGGAGCCAGCCGCTCCATGCGACTGCTCGTCCTGTGGACGTCTTGACTCGCTGATCTGTCTTGACTCGCTGCTTCCCTCTTGACTGACTTAACTTCTTGACTGAACTGACTTTGAAAATGCGGCTGACCGTTATATTCAAAGACAATTCTCTCCGCGCAGTGGAAAAGGGGGGGGGGGGCGTGGTCTGGGTGTGTGTGTGCGTTCGTGTGTGTGTTTGTGTCCTGGTTCTGTTCGGGTCTTCCTCAAGCCATAAACCATCAAGGAAACAGACGCTTCGATTCATCTCGAAGGCGTCTGTCTGTCGACGCTGTTCATCCAGAGAGAGGGGCGGGTTCCCCCCCCCCCCCCTTTTTCGTACACGTTTCCAACGCACAAAGAAATGGTTAAGATTTTTTAAGTTTAACATTTCACATCACAGTTGGTATCTTATCATACACAGTTATGATCCTGCTTGTGATTCATAGTATTTGATTTATGTTTCCAAGTGAAGATGCTCTTCTGAGCGTATGCATTTTAACACGTGCTGCGGGGAGAGACAAAGGTGGCCGGGATCTTCCCATCTCTATATACTTTGAGTTGAGATCGCTCAAATATAATTTCGACTCCACATTCTACCAGCCTAATCCACCCCGTTACCTTGGCTCTTACTTAGTTTATTAATTTTCGTCACTGTGTGTCTTATATATAAATGTGTGGCAGTTTATTTAACTTAAAGCTCGCTCGCTCGCTCTTTTGCTGCCCGTGTGTGGCAGATGGTTCCTGCGATAACGATCTGTTTGCCCTGGCGTGAAATTCCTCTCTCGCGCTCTGCGGGAGAGACAAAGGTGGTCGGGAGCACCTATCTCTTTATACTTTCGATTTATATTTCTCAAATACCATTTGGTCCCATGTTCGCCAAGACTCGTGTTTGTAACTACGTCCTCCCGACACCCCTCGGTTTACCGAGGTTCGCATTGTTATGATGGAATTATTAAAAAGAAAAATAATTTTCATCCTGAGTTTGAGGTCCGTTTCTTGATTGTTGGAATCCATATCCCTTGGTTCTGTAAGGTTCTATAATGGAATATCGTTTAAGGTTAACACGTTATTATTAATGTTATATTGCAATTTCTTTAAAACGTTGTTTGCCTGGTTGCCGTGTGTGGGGTGGGGTGTGTCTCCTCATCAAACCCGGCTGGCTTTTCCAGATGGCCCCTTGTGATAAGGTGTAATTCCTGCTTCTCCGCGCTGTGAGAGAGACAAAGGTGGTCGGGGTTGCTTGGGATATTGTTTAAACTCTTTCGCAAGTTTGCCCGTTGTCTCATTCCTTCTTGATAACCTTTGATGTGACTCGGTATTCCTGCTCCAAGCTTTGTTTTAACAGTAAAAGTATTAAAGGTGAAAATCATTTTATAGCGAATTAATTATTGGATAATAATTCACTGATGTATCTGGTGGCCTGGTCTTAATTGGAGTGAGCGCGAGGACCGCTAACTTTAGCTTATTCTTGTTATTGCATTTTAAATTTAAACCGTTGTTTTAATGACAGAGGAAAAAATATATATGGTTTAACCCGTGGGCGTCCTCGTTTCTGGCTTGCGGAGGGCTTCCCTCTGCGTGACCTCCCTTAGGGCACATCAAACTCTTGTTCATCTGGAGATCTTCGCAGATAGCTGCTAACATCCTCGCCTCGAGAGTTGTATTATTTATTTATTTATTAATGGCCTGCTTGTGACCGACATCTGGTTTTTCGTGTGCCTGGCTTAGGGGTTTTATTGATTTTTCTTTGTTTGTTAAAAAATATGATATATATAACGGCAAATATTATTGTTAATTTCAATTTTGGAAAAGGCTCATATACAACACAGTGTACATGCGAGGCAATGCAACTGACAAATATGCAACTGCCATTGCAACCGTGATTGGCTCTTCTGGTGGAATTCAGTGCAATAAACTTCTGAGTAAAGATTCTAAATTACACGGTCAGGTGCGAGTTCAATTCTACCAATTAGCAGTAAACATACGTTTGCATGTGTAGGAATTTGTTTCTAGTTTATTTTGTTGAACCAAGCGATAAATTAAGAGACCATGATAACTTCATTTTCAAGGGTGACCTGGGACACTGTTCTACCTGCAGAGGGCGATGTTTGTTAAGTCGAGTATTTTCAGGTAATTTTATAATTTGCACCCTGACAGAGACGCACAATGGCCTTCTCGTGCGAATGACGTCAGGGGATCTTTAACATCCACTCTCAAGCATACGGCGCATATTATTATCGTTAACCAGGGTAGTCGCTGGAATTGAACATTGGACCTTTGCAACATGCGGGAAAACACTACCGCTATAGGCTTGGCTGTATTTGTAAGCAACAGGAAAAACTGATCAAAGCGATTCTGCTAATCATGTCACGTTTTTTGTCGACAATGGATTACTCAAAAGATTAGGAGCGATTTACGAGTATAGTGACATAGAATGGGTCACTAGGGCGTGTAGCGCTGGTTGCTGGCAGAGAGTGGGATCTGAGGGTGTAGCAGCCCGGTCTGCCAGCAGGGCATGTGATAGGTCGGGGAAAGGGATGTCGGACAAAGGTGATGGAGGGGACACGTGAGGTGAAGCCGGGAACCTTCTAATAGGTTTCAGAAGAGGGCGTGACCGAGAGCGGAGCCAGGCCATGCTGGGGGAGATAAAATGGAGGCCCCGACTCAGGGTCGGGGCTGTCGTCTGGAATGGAACCCGTCGTGCTACCAAGTCTTCGTCCCCGTCTTCGGCCTCGTCTTCACCTCCTCGGCGTTGTTGGTCAGGCAGTGTATTAGCTGTCCCGACCATAGTCTAGTTATCCCCTGTACCCGTGATAGGCTAGGATAAACGAGAGTGCCTCCTACTATTAGTGTCTTTGAAGTGATTCACACACGAGTATTGAAAGGCTCACAGATCTCCGATGGTGATGTCACCAGCGAAGGTTAACATCCAGGGCTTTGACAAACATCACAAGCGTGGGAGAGAAGTCACCCCAGGAGGCTTACCGATGTCGAGGGAACCGATGAACGCAGCCATGATAGCCGAGCTGTGGTAGAGTGGCAGGAAGATGTACACCACGTCCTCTGCTCTTACGCCAGACATTGAGTAGTTGAAGTTTCCGCACCATGCACGCGTGTGGCTGACCTTCACAGCCTTTGGGAGTCCTGGCAATGTGTGGGATCGGGAGAGAATCAATGGACCTGTTAAACATTTCAGTATTGTCTCCTTGAATCTTTTATTGTCATTTGTAGCACAGCAGTTGGAAATTATTTCGCTGACAGACTAGAAGACAACAGAAAAATAAGACAATTACCCAATTATGACATTAAAAGTCTGGCATCGATGATGGTGAAATAATGATCATACAATATAGCGATGCCAATGCTACTGATGGTGAATATGATGACAATAGGATGATGATGGTGAACATGATTACAGCAGTACGGGTCATCAGACAAACCAGTGGTGCCGGACGTGTAGATGTATATGAAGGCGTCCTTCGCGGTGATGTGCGCACGCACGCTGGCTGCTGGGAGGTTGCAGGGGGCCTCACGGAAAGTGGAGGCGAGTGATGGCACAGCTGACCCGGGGGTTGCATCGCCCATGGTCAGGGGACGGATTTGAAGCTCATTCATCTCCACTGAAATTTCCTCCACCGCCACCAATAGTGGCCCTGTCCGTGGTTAGAGGTCAGGCGCAGCCATATATCACTGATCATTGTACTGCAGAATTCAAATAGGTTTTATTCTTATACCCAAGGTACACGAAGTAATGATGGACTCTGCCAACAACCTAATACTGGCCGTTTGAAACATACAACTGAAATATATTGATAGTATTAGACGGGGCTAGTAATCCGGGAAGGTGGCACCTGACAAGTAGCCACAGCCATAGCGAGAGGTATACAGGATGTGGCTCGCATGGAAATATATTCCAGGTTGCAGACATGTACAAACCTAACTGAAATTAGGCCCTAGTTTTAGAGAAACAGAAACACTGCGCGACTGAACTTGTCAATTTAGTTGAATTCCTGGCCATGGTTAACATCAGTGACGAGTGATATCTGAAAGGGACCTGGGCACACTGAGCCGTGTGGGAAGGTATGGTCAAAACAACCCCCTCGAGTGAAAAGGATGGGGAGGACTTCGTAAATTAGGGGAATGATAAAAGGGTTGTAAATAATTATTGTTATTATTAATTCTGAATTAAGCATATCTAGAACATCATTGATTGGAGGGTTAACATATGAAACCTCAAGGGACTGAGTGTAGCTGTGACTTAACAGCTACCTAGCTTAAAATTTGTTTTATTTATTGGTTGCATCTACAATTGACCTTTACCCAGTGGCAAACAACAATGCACGTGAAAGGAATGCATCAGATGTAAAAAAGCAAAAGTTACATCATATTTCAATTCAAAGCTTTCGTGACTGCAGGGATTAATCTTCTTTGGTTCTTTCGGTAAAGTCACGTAGAATGAGAATAAAATAATAATAAAAATAATGAAAAAATAACACAATAAAATTCTCACGACGTTTCGGCCACAACACAAGTGGCCTTCTTCAGGTGAAAGGAACAAACCTGTCGGGACGACAGAGCTTCAATGAACGTTGTTAAGATTCGTAGCATCATTTAAGCTGGTTTAGAGAAGTGAGGCACCTTGACAAAGGGGTTTACATATCACACAGGAGAATTTAGCATTGAAATAGCTGAGGGATTAGCTTGTGACTGGTCATAGAAATGGCTATGTTAAAGTCAAAGCCAACACATCCACAGAGGCACCTAGTACAAATCAAACAGGAGAATTTAGCATTGAAATAGCTGCGTGATTAGCTTGTGACTGGTCACAGAAATGGCTATGTTAAAGTCAAAGCCTACACATCCACTCCTACCAGGAGTGCCGTAGCCCTCAGGACACCGAGGGCATCCACGTGCAATCGACGAGATGGGAGTCTCACCAGAACCAGTGACCAGGAATTGTGCTTTGCTCGTGGTCAGGCAGTGCAGGAGCATGCGACCGCGCAGATTCGTGTTCATGAGGGTGGCGGGACACGCGAGGGATGTGCACGCGAACAGCACGAACAAGAACGCCGGCTCGTTCTCCATTAGCAGAGCCACGGTGTCGCCCGGGCGCACGCCCCCAAACTGAAAAGGCAACACGACGATGCCAGACAAATTACATTTGGAGTTCTCAAGAATTTAAATGCAACCGTATCGCAAGGGGTCGTGCATAGAAGGGCGGAGGGGAACGTGCAGTAACCATGATGTAGTGCTGTAGCCACTTATGAATGACGGCAAGACACAGCTTTCAGTTTTATTTATTTGGTTTAACCCTGTGAGCCATTCGGCTCTTGATTCGGGTGCAACCACAACAAACAATAAAATTACAAGATACATTTAAAATTTACTGCACGCAAATTGAAACATCCCCTATAAAAACAATAAAATCTTCCATAAAAAGCACCATCTGTTTATGCTGCGTACAAAAAATGTGCAAGAAATCCCAGTTTGATGTTAGATCAGCAAAAACAACCGCCATTCTCACAAACTGAGTCGAGGGCAACCCACCTCCTGAAGGGCGTGCGCGGTGCGAGCCACGTCGCGCACGAACTCTTCGTACGTCCATCTGTCGTCCTCGAAGGTGAGGAAGACCTTGTGCGGAGTGGCGGACGCTCGCTCGAGCAGCCGGTCAAGAACGGAGAATAGGGGCTTGCGGGACAAGTAGCGGTGCCTGTACACCGCATTGCGCAGGACACGCAGGGAGCGCCAAGCACCCAGCCACAGCTGCGGCCAGAATATCCAAGAGGCCAGCAGAATGCAAGCCACTATCACTGCAGCCCCAGCAAGGAGAGAGAGGAGTTCCATCGTAGTCACACTGAGGCCGCCGTGCCCTCCGCTGTATCTCAGCCACGTGTCAATCGCTGGTGACAATAAATCTTGCTAAAACAATCAAACCCCTATTGTTTTTACTTGACAGTGCGTTTTTGCCATACTTTAGATAAGCAACATTAATCTTTTTTACATTAATAATAATTCTCACCCAGCTCCAACTCTATTCAAATGCTGGAATGGCTACACAAGCTTACACGGTCCAAATTCCACACCTACTGCTTCATGAATATTCTTATCTCAGCAGTTATATTGGTTCAGCGTGCACTATGGGCAAAAGTTCACCAAGTGTACTCTGTGATAGTAATAAAGCTCTTCAAACAAAATAAGATAAGAGGCTTTGGCGCATCTCTGTCAGTCATATCAGTCAATGAAACGAATTATTTGCTGACACCGCTGCATAAGCAGTGGTGCACAAGCATATATAACAACAAAACACTCCAACACATTCGTCAATATTAGCGTGACCATGAATTTAACTGTTTCGGGCATGTGCACTGAAGAAGGGCTATTGTCTAAAACGTCGCCCTATTATATTTTTCCTTTGAAAGCAGTTTATTTGATTATCTATATACATTTCGATTTAAAGCTTTCATGACTGCAGGGATTCATATTCTTAGTTCTTTCGGTAAAGTCACGTCGAAGGGAAATAATATTTTATTATATTTAATTATTTCCCTTCTAGGTGACTTTACCTAAAGAACCAAGAATATCTTTATACAGTATATGTAGAGTACTCTTTGATTTTTTTTCGGTAAAGTCACGTAGGTATAATAAAATAAATGAAAACAACTAAATTAAATCACGACGTTTCGGAGGCAACACAAGCTTTCGTTTTCAGGTGGAACAGTCACAGCAAAATAGCTGTATAAAGTGAAGAGCTCTGAGACACCCGAGATTATATACAGGTTGAGGGAGGGGGAGAGGAGCCTTCCCCCCCACCCACGTCCCTTCCTGGCTCCTCTCCCCGTCCCTTAACCTGTATATAATCTCGGGTGTCTCAGAGCTCTTCACTTGATACAGCTATTTTGCTGTGACTGTTCCACCTGAAAACGGAAGCTTGTGTTGCCTCCGAAACGTCGTGATTTAATTTAGTTTTCATTTATTTTATTTTACCTACCTTGGTGAAGGCCTCTTCATCGTTCTGCCTGTTGGGCACCGATTTCTTGGCCAGGATGCCTATTCGGATTCTCGTGGACCAGAGTTGTGTGGAATGCCATCGGGCCGCAGGGTGCACTTTTTGCAGTCTCCCACCATTTTGTCTCCCCTTGCCGCCAGTGTACGGGCCTTGAATAAGGAGTTCGTGACCATTCCGACAAGGTCACAAATCCTGCTACCCCTTAGGCTGCGCAGACCCTTGAGATTGCACTCCCCGGAAACTCGCATCCTGTTGTCTCCCTAGAACTACTTTTCAAGGCCGTCCAGCTTGGTTGGCGCCTTGACAGCCGTGTCGGACGTCCGGGACCCCTTTTTGCAGGTCCTCAATTCGGGGACTTTGCCCATTATGGTTCTGGCTGGCGCCGTCTTGGCACACGTGACCCCAGCTCCTCCACCCGACGACGCCAGGCAGGCTGGAGGAGTTGTGGCATGCGTGCTGCACGGTGGGGGGACCGGCGCATCTTGGGTCAATGCGCTGTGCAATGAGAATGTCTCGTCCCCTGGGGAGCACCAGCAGCTCCGTACACTCATTGAGGTTCACCGATGTGTTTAGTCAAAGTAAATTTGATATTGGTCATAAGACTCTTCTGGAACATCACATTGACACGGGCAATTCGGCCCCCATTCGGTTAAATTCTCAGCACTTCAGCCCAGCGGAAAAGGATCATGTCCGCTTGGCCGTGGACAATATGTTGGCAGCGGATATTATCTCCCTATCCACTAGCCCTTGGGGTGCCCCCATTGTGCTGGTCAAGAAACGGGATGGGAGCCTCTGGTTCTGCGTCGATTTCCGTATATTGAACAAGATCTCTGTGGCTGATGCATATCCACTGCCTCGCATGGATGATTCCCTTGACGCCCTCTCGGGTGCGCGGTTCTTTTCCACCTTGGACTTGCTCTCGGGCTTCTGGCAATTGCCATTGGAAGAGGCCTCGAAGCCAAAGACAGCATTCCGCACACCACAGGGGCTGTACGAATTCAACCAGCTCCCTATGGCCCTACATCCGGCCCCAGCCACCTTCCAGCATCTCATGGAGATGGTCTTGGCAGGGCTGCAGTGGGAATCTTGTTTGATTTATCTGGACGACGTAATTGTCATCGGCCATACGTTTGATGAGCACTTGCAACGCCTTGAGTCAGTGTTCGTCAAAGTGCATGCTGCGGGGTTGAAATTTAAACCACAAAAATACCATTTATTACAACCATCAGTGAGGTATTTAGGACACATTGTTAGTGTGTCAGGTGTTGCCACGGATCCGGAAAAGACAGCTTGTGTCCGGACGTGGCCGACTCCCACATCTGTCGCTGAGGTGCGTAACTTAGTCGGCTTCGCTTCGTATTATCGTCGTTTTGTGCGCGATTTTGCGACGATAGCGAAGCCACTGCACAAACTCTCCGCCAAAGGCCAAAAGTTCCACTGGGGCATACAGGAGGAAGCTGCCTTTGCTGCGCTTCGTGCATCCTTGGCAGATGTGCCGCCTTTGGGGTACCCAGACTTCTCAAAGCCCTTCCTCCTCGACACTAACGCCAGCGATATGGGCATTGGGGCGGTCCTGGCCCAGGTGGTCGATGGGGTGGAAAGGGTCGTGGCATATGGCAGCCGCGTTTTATCCCCCACTGAACAGCGCTGTTGTGTTACACGGTGGGAGCTGCTTGCCATCGTGTTCTTTGTACAGCTCTATAGGCCATATTTGTATGGCAGGTGGTTAACCGTCCGGACTGACCATGCGGCCTTGCAATATTCGTTGCGGATCAATCAGCCCTCGGGTCAGCTTTCCCGCTGGCTCAAGGTGCTGCAAGAGTACCCTTTCGACGTCATCCACAGGAAGGGGGCAAAGCATGGTAATGTGGATGGGCTCTCCAGGTTGCCTACGGAGGGTGGGTGCGCGTGTACCCTAGGTTCGAGTCGCTGCAAGACCCCAGCGGACACCGCGGTCGAGTTGATTGCAACGGCCAATGCAGACCCCCCTCCGGGTGTGGCGTTGCCTGTTGATTTTGGCCTGGGACTAACCTGAGAGGTATGGTGCAGATGGAGGATTCCTCTCTGCTGAGGCTATGACGCCATGTTGGGCTAAGCGCCCGGAGCTCAGCTCCATCGGCCACCCCGGCGATCGCTGTACATGACTGCCTCCTCATGCGTTGGGATGCCCAATTGGAGCATTACTGTGTCGTTGTACCCACTGCCCTGCGAGGTAAATTGACCCGGACCATTCACGAGAAACTTATGCACCTCGGGTACAATAAGACCTTGCTGACCTTCGATTTAAAGCTTTCGTGACTGCAAGGATTCATCTTCTTTGGTTCTTTCGGTAAGTCACGTAGAATGAGAATAAAATAATAAATTGATAAAATAAAATAACACAATAATATTCTCACGACGTTTTGGCCACAACACAAGCGGCCTTCATCAGGTGAAGGGACGAGACTGTCTGGTAGGACAGCGCTGGAGTGAAAGAGCCACGTTCAGATCATGGCCTTTAAGCTGTGTGAGAGGAACAAAGCGCCTTGACAAAGGAATTAGCATATAATTTAGCATTGAAATGGCTGAGTGATTAGCTTGTGACTGGTCACAGAAATGACTATGTTAAAGCATACACATCCGCAAAGGCACCCCTTGACAAAGGAATTGGCATAGAATTTAGCATTGAAATAGCTAAGTTAAAGTATACACATCCGCAGAGGCACCCCTTGACAAAAGAATTAGCATAGAATTTAGCATTGAAATAGCTGAGTGATTAGCTTGTAACTGGTCACAGAAATAGCTATGTTAAAGTCAGAGCATATACATTCACTGAGGCACCTAGTACAAATCAAACAGGAGAATTTAGCATTGAAATAACTAGGCGAATTTAGCATTGAAATAACTGAGTGATTAGCTTGTGACTGGTCACAGAAATGGCTATGTTGAAGTCAAGGCCTACACATCTGAGCTATTCACAGTAACTGGGTATACAATACAATATATAATGAATACTATATAGTGAACCAATAAAAAACTAAAATATAAATTACCTCAATGTTATCAATAAACTTTATATTCTCCAATCACCTAAGCTACCAACAATAAGTCGTCATATATCACAATGCTATATGGCGAAAAAATGGGTGTATTCTTACCCTCAACTTTAGCAACACGGATAGCTATGGGTCCCGTTCAGACGGACGAGTTAATCCATGGTCGGAACAGAGGAGGGAGAGAGAGAAAGCTGCGAGGCGCTGTTATACTCCATGTTGTAAACCATACCATTAACCGTGGTGTGAGAGGTATAAAGAGTCAATGCCAGCGAAAGAGCTGCGGTCTGAAGGTCATCGTAAAATACAATTAATTAAGAACGGAAATGGTATAAAACATCTTTCCAATGGTTACTAAGCCAGAATACATCTTCTCGGTTGAAATTGTCTCTGTGCTTTTATATGTGAATGGCCTCATGAACGAATCTCTCATGGTAGCCGGTTGGTTTGCACAGAACCTCCGTCTTGGAGAAGTCAATGTCATGTGAGCCCACTGAATTATAACAGTGATCTGCCACGGCAGAGGAGTTCGTTCTACCGTGTTTCAAGTCTGCTTTATGTTCGCGGATGCGGTCCGAGATATGTCGTTTGGTTTCTCCAATGTAGCTACTACCACAGAGGCACTTTAGTTTGTAAACGCCCGGGTACTGTATGTCTGGAACAGCATCTTTTACAGATGGAACTAGATCACGGATTTTATGTACTGTGTTGAATAGGACCTGGATCTTGTGTTTATTCAGGATTTTGGAGATCTTTTTAGTGACCCCTGCAATGTAGGGTAAGGTGATGGTTTTGAGTGGCTCCACAAGAGGATCCTCCTTCATGACTGGAATGATGGATTTGCGGATTGTGTAGTCGGAGTAACCATTAGCCCTGAGAGCCTGGTGTACGTGCTTGAGTTCACTGGTAATGTGTTCCTGGTCGGAAATGCATTGGGCTCTATGGTATAGAGTCTTGATGAGGGAGTTCTTCTGGGATGGATGGTGGTGGGAATCCGGTTTCAAGTAAGCATCTGTATGGGTAGCTTTCCTGTAGACAGAGTGGCTCATTGAAACATCACGTCTCCTTTTAATTAAGACATCCAAAAAGGGTAGTTTGCCATTTTTTTCTACCACCATGGTAAATCTGATGGCTGGGTGTATGGAATTGATGTGGTCGATGAATTGGTCTAG